GGGGTGGTGTCTTCAGGTTTGGGGGTGGTAGGAGATTCAGCAGTTGTCATTGGTGCCTCTGTGGTCTCTGGGGTTGTGTCTTCAGGTTTAGGAGTTGTAGGAGAGTCTGCCATGGTTGTTAGTGCCTCTGTGGGCACAGCAGTTTTTTCTTCATCTTCTGGGGGGTTGGTGGGCGAGTCTGTCTCCATCATTGGTTCCTCTGTGGCTTCAGGGGTCATATCTTCAACCCTAACTGTGGTGGGATAGTCAGCCTCGGTCACTGGTACTTCTGATACTTCATGGGTTGGTTCTTCTGCCTTCAGAGTGGTGAGAAAGTCCACTTCGGTCACTGGTTCTTCTGTGGCCTCGGGGGTCATATCTTCAGTTTTAGTGGTGGTGGGATAGTCTGCCTCAGTCATTGGTGCCTCTGTGGCTACAGGGGTTGTCTCTTCAGGTTTTGGGGTGGTGGGAGAGTCCGCCTTGGTCGTTGGTGCCTCTGGGGTTGTGTCTTCAGGCTTGGGGGTGGTGGGAGAGTCAGCCTTGGTGGTTGGTGCCTCTGGGGTGGTGTCTTCAGGCTTGGGGGTGGTGGGAGAGTCAGCCTTGGTGGTTGGTGCCTCTGGGGTGGCGGCTTCAGGCTTGGGGGTGGTGGGAGAGTCAGCCTTGGTGGTTGGTGCCTCTGGGGTGGTGTCTTCAGGCTTGGGGGTGGTGGGAGAGTCAGCCTTGGTGGTTGGTGCCTCTGGGGTGGTGTCTTCAGGCTTGGGGGTGGTGGGAGAGTCAGCCTTGGTGGTTGGTGCCTCTGGGGTGGTGTCTTCAGGCTTGGGGGTGGTGGGAGAGTCAGCCTCGGTGGTTGGTGCCTCTGTGGTTGCAGGAGTGGTCTCTCTGGTAGTTGCTTTCAGTGGTGTGGTTGTCTCAGGTTTTGTTGTTGTTGGAGCAGTCGTGGTCACTGGGTTTTCCAGTCCACTGTCAGTACCTATGAGAACAAGTATATCTGAAGTTAATCCATTGAAATTGCAGTGCATGCTCCTGTTTCATACCAGTTTATTTTACCGATTAGAAATAGCTGCTTATCTTTTGAATAGCAATAGTGGTTTTTATGGTCTATACTTGAAAATGTTTCTGTGTAAAATTGCACTTAATTAGCTTTAAAATGGTTGAAACATTTTTTTGAAGTGACAAAAATAAGGATTTGTCGAAACATAATTTAAACTGGTAAATCCCAGTTCGTGGACTCGGGTAAATGTCAAAAGATAAATAATTTAGAATAGCCCGACTCACTTGGATAGGGTTAAATGCAAGTTCCTTTTGTCTGCACAGGACTTTGCAGCAGGTTAGCTGTTTTAAGCAATACTTTTGGCTAACCTGTCGCAGCTCCAGGTGCAGCACGGCAGATTTTAGTTTGGTGTTTGTAGGTGCGGCCACCTCCTATTTCCATCCTTTTTCATGGAAGCGGGACCATGCTATAACATATCGTCCTTGTAATGGGACACTCCTTTCTCAGTCTGTTCTTTTATTTGTTCCTGTGGCCCTAGTTATAACACAGCCTGCACTGATCACCTGGACTTGTAGGACAGAGCTAAGGAAACCGGAGGAAAACAAACTTTTGGAGTACAGACACCTGACTGCAAATCCTGCTGTATCTTTATATCTTGGGTGTTTTTCATCTTTGTGATTTAAGACCCTCTTCACTGGTGTATATAGTTACACTGACTTAAGTACAATTGCTAGTATAGCTATATCTGCAAAAAGTGAAAGTTTCTGCATTTTAATCGCTCACTGTTATCTCTGGGATGCTTTGCTGTTTAGTTCTCCTTTCACATAAGGGTTTTTTTTCTGTGATTCCAAAATTGCTGTCTACCATTACAACTGAATTGGCATTTGTTTCTTAAAAACCTGAAAAACACAAGTGCAGCATCCTGTGGTTTGGGACCATGTTGTTCAGCTCTTGAACAAATCTAAAAATCTAAAAAGATCTGAGCTACTGCTGATGGTAACAGTGTGATGACTGTCAGCAGCACTGATGCCGTGTCTCTTCCAGAGACTGGAAGAACTTAAAATACTGCAGTGTGAGAAATAATCCTTTTGTAATGTATTGTAGAAATAGTGCAGTATGGGCAGAGCGTTACAGAGTAGGTTTTCCTCCCACCCAGTGTGTCTGAAATACCCTAAGCCAAGTGGGAACCTGTTAACGGTTACTTGAATTTTCTAAATTTTGTTTCATTTGACCCACTATATTGATTTTTCTAATAGGAAATTGCCACAAAAGAAAGATAAGTAGTCCAAATTTAAAATTTAAAAAAATGTAAGGATTAAAATGTTGGCCAAAAATGACACGTAGTCTCAATTCATACTTATTACTTCAGGCTTCAAGTTCAAACTCATCTCCCCAGTTATCACTTAAAATGCTGGAACAGAATATGAAGCAACACAGGAAAGTAACACATTTTCCATTCAGAAAAAATAAATTATGTATGTTTTCTGAAGCTGCATGAGGCCTCGCTTGATTAAAGCTAGAGAAACCCGCTAGGAGACTTCCCTGTCTCAGTCCTGGCAATTCATCACTGTCCCAAAACACAACACCCTTCCTGTTCCAGCTGCGGACACGGTCCAAAACTGACAATGGCATGTAACGTATTTTTGGAAGATGTGTGTGAGAATCCAATAGAGACGCAGGAGACATCACCACACTCCTACATCTGTGTGAAGTGAACTCTCCAAAGTCAGTACCCTGAGGTCTAGGTGAGGTCATTAGTTTATAAACCGGCCAGTTCCAAGCCTGGTAACTGTCTGGTAATGTCTCGCATCGACTTTCTATTTCCAGAGCAGGAAAATGGCCTTTAATGTTCCTTCAGGTAACACCCATCCTGTTTCATTGATATGTTTTCCTACCTTCCATAACTTCATGGGGCTGTGTTACTTCCTCTGGCTTCTCTTCCTCATTTTTGGATGTTGGTTTGTTTGGTGGAGGAGTCTTAGGTGATGGCTTTTCTGTGTGTACTGAAAGAAATAAAATAATCTGTTAATGGGAGCATTATAGATGCTTGGTGTCTACTGTATAAGAAGAAAGTGATTATAAAACTTCAGTGAAAGTCTTCCATATAAATCTAAGTTTCTTCCTATCTGTAGGATTCTTTAAAGCATTATTCAGGGAAAAAAGAGGAAAAACACCCTTTTGATCCCTAAGGGTTTCATCACAGATGGGAGAAATGGTTTTCCTGGAAGTTTGAGGTGAGGCATTCTTTGCTAACGTGAATTTTGAGGTGAGAAAAAGTTGAATTCTGACTGGAGCTCTACATTCTGAAAACTTGTCTAATTTTTTTTGTCAGCTTATTTTTTTGACTATAGATGTCTTGGGGCTAACTCAGTATAGCGTATCTCTGAGGGCTACTATATTAGCCAAGTGTTTACTTTGATAATCTCCTGAAGATTTAGTCAGACTGTAGTTCTTCAGACGTGTGATAATTCTGCATATCAGTGATCATTTCAGAGAGACATCTTAAAAGCAATTGTTTCCTTTAAAGAGACAGAAGCTACAAGGTAGGCATGGACCAAAGAAACAAAGCAAGGTTTAAGTAATAAGCTCACTTCTAGTAGGTTGAGCTTTAGGAGAAACTGATGGTTTGTGTTCAGATTTTCCAACACTGAAGAATACATGGGATTTCACTTGAAACAGTAAGAGCCAGAAGACTTTTTTTTTTTTTTAATTCATTGTTTGGTCAAATTGTGCAATTGGAAGTGAGACCCTTTCTTCCCACTAACATATCGCTGTAGAAAGATCTTGTTAGCTGTGAAAAAAAGCATGATGGAACTCAGGGTACCTGCAGGATCTTTTTGATCCAACTAAAGGAGCTGGTAAGTGCCATAGGAATGTGTCATCAGCCTTTCACAAAAGGAGTTGTGTTTTTGTGTAAGGTGATGAGCCCGGTGGCATCAAAGGATTTACTTTATAGCAAGACAATACTCAAAGCAAATAAACTTGGGTGGTGGACTATATCCTGAAGCTTTTACTGAGAAAGAGAGAGAAATTGTAATTGTTGAATAAAACCACTTTGGGAGCTGAACCAGCTTTCAGAGGAGTCAGTAGGGGGGGTGGGGGGGGAGTGTTTACCTAGTCCCTAACTCTGTGTGTATTCTGGGGATATAGAGCTTCTGGAGGATAGGGATGATCCACATTGTAAATTTAGCTGTGCTGTACGGAACAAAGTGTTTGGAAGATGCAGAAACAGCAAAATGAAAGTTCACTGCATGGTCTTAAGTTATGGCATTATTCCAAAAGGATTACCAGGTTTCTCAGTTACACATAGCAAAAATACTAAAATACTGAGTACACTGGTAGGCTGGGTTTCAAGGATTTTTTTGTTGTTTTTTTTTGACAAAAATTAATAGCAAAGCTAAGTAACTAAAATACTTGAAGAAACTCTCTAAGATTATGAGCAGTCGGTTAACTTTTCGTTATATTTGAACTGAACAACAAGCGAAACTGATGTTTTTTGTTGAGTATTCATGTGTGTTAAGCTCCTGCAGAAAGGGAAAGGTGTTAAGCAACCTCAAATGCAGAAAATTCACCTCAAGACACTTCTAAGACACTTACCATCTTCTAGACATGGAGTGAAGATAAATGCTGAATATGGAGTCTATTTCATTATAAATTACTGTGCAACTGAGTAGCAAAACCAAGCCACTACATCAGCCCTTGAGGACTGGGAGTGGTTGGTAAAGTAAACCAAGTGATAATCTGTGATGCTCATCTTGTTGGTTAAACCACATGCTTTGAAAACTGGCCGCCTTGGAGGCTGTCTGGTCTGCAAATGCAGCAACCCGGTGCCAAGCCACGTTTGCAAAGTGCATTCACAGAAATGATTTTAGGTTCATAAGTTAGCAGAAAGCTTAAGGAAATGATGTAATTAAACATATTCTGTTGGTGTTTTCTAGGCTGAAATTTAATTGCTAGTGTCATTAAAGCTACATGAAGGTGAAACTGCCCCTCCAGATCCTTAGTGCTTGACTAGCAAAAATCCGTCAGGTTCTGCAGTGAAGGACAGAATAGACAGAAGTGACAGTGGGTCAGAGTAATCCTTCCCTGAAATGAATTTGCAGCCTAAAGTCTGAATGTGCATTTTCTTAAAATTCTTCTTGCTGTGGTGTGAATGTGTAACCGCTTCTAACCAGGCAGATCTACAGTTCCTCCCTCTTGCCCCAGAGGATGGATTTCTGTTTTGGGCTGCTCTTCCCATTTTGTATTCGAGGCAGGGAGGATGTAGGAGCTCTCTCCGCATGCTGACAGTGACTGCAGTAACCCAAAGCAGGTGGTCTGGAGGTTCCAGCAGTTCTATCCCAATGCAGGGTGTAGGGATCCTACACTTTTGGATGGGTTGCAGGAAAATTTAAGGGAGTTGGACCTTCCTTCATTACTACTTTTTTGTACATGAACTAGACTTTTTACTGCAATATGTCATTCATTCCTCTCAGCTTTGGTCCTTGAATTCTATTACTGATGTGACTCAAGTAGCATGAGTGGAAATGCATGTGCAAAGCCTGGCCTTACACGTACTGTTCTGGGTGGTGGTTCTGATAGTGAATTAAGAGTGTGGCTAGTGCAAACAGACACTAACACAAAATAAAACTACCCCCTCCTAATTTGTATCTTGGTGATGGCTTCCAGTATATCTACCTGTGTGCATCCACAAAGGGTTCATTTATTTTTTAAATTAGGTTTTGGTATTTTTATTGTTTCCTAAGACTCCTGTAAGCAGCCACTAAGTGCTGAGGCTGACTGCTGGTGATGTGAGAGAACAGTAAGTGGTGCAGAATACGTGTGGTATAGAAATGTTAGCAAACATTTATGAAGTTTCTGCCTCTTCCTGTTTATTGTGTTGTCATGCTGTGGATGTACTAGCCAAAAAATGAGGTTGGCTGGATGAATTTTATGGAAAGGTTCACTTCAGAGCTAATGTGAATAGCAACAACAACAAAGCCTGCACAGTTAATGTTTTATGATAGCACAAAGCATCTATATTGAAATTATTACAGCTAGGAAAAATACAGTGATAAAGAAATTTCTTACCCTCTTTACAGTGTTGATCATAATCTGGGCAACATTTGCCATATCTTTCACAGTCTATGTCACAGTCGCACTCTCTTCCTCTTTCAAAGGCTTCAAAGCAACGTCCTCTGCAGGAGAGTGCTGCATAAGGCACAAGAAGAGAGTTAGTGGTTTTGGCCAGCTCACATTTGACTCTGGGACCTTGCTACAGTGAAGTCATTTGCTTAAGCTGATGTAAAGAACAGCCTCATAAAAGCAGGTGGCTTTCTGGTCTGATCCAGAACTTGTTTGTGTAATTGTGGGATTTGGATCTGGCCATACAACCAGAACTGCACTTTGCCATTGCAGTATATTGAGACCATTTAGAATTTATGGTGGAATAAAATGTGGCCTCAGAGTTCACTTTAGCTAGGTCCCATCGTAGAAGGCTTCCATCTCCCTAATCAAATAGCAGGTATGTCAAGAAGAGTATTTGAGTTCTGGGATGGGTTTTCAAAAAGGTGTTCATCAGGGTACCACCTCACGGAGTGATGTGTCTGCCAAAGCGTTTCTGAAAAAGAATTTGCCTAAAGAGGTCATGACCAAGTGTACCTGGTGTCTCTGGGCACACACTGCAACTTAACTGTGTGAATGAGTTAACAAAGTTACCCAAAGGGACTATTTTTGAAATGTTATTCCAGTCTATTTAATACAGTTCTTAAATTATTAGTATTGAAGGGATATCTACCATGTTTTGACATGAATAATAACCACATGCTTTTAATAACTCTATTGGTTTAATTCTGATAACTTCAATCACTACATATCAAGTAAGGACCAAATTGTTTCGGGAAGTGTGTGCATAGCTATGACAGCCTTCAGCAAAACATGCTTGCTGTATTTATCAAGGACAAAATTTGACCCAAACATCTACATTATATTACAATCTAATATTTATTAACATTCAGTAGTACCTTTGATAGTTAGTTAACTGTTAAACTGAAGTTGTTATGTTGGACCTGGAGTGGATATTTTTTGAGGATGCTTCACATCTCAGAGAACTGAGCCAACAATTAACTGTCACTCAGTATTTCCAGAATTTACCATCTGATCTGTTATTCTTGTCCTGTACCTTTTCTGCACGTAAGTCTCTATTGAAATCAGTCTTTGTGGCACGCGGGGCATAAAATCATGTTTTGCAATTAATAACCTAGCAAAATTAGGATTACTGTATAGGCAGGTTCTGAACACCTTTTGACCAGTGTAGAGTCTGTTGATTGCTAGTGGATTAATGCCACGTGCAAAGGTGAGAATTGTTATTTTATGACGTTAGGGCAATTTTTATTCATAAACAATCTGGCATTTCTCTAATTTATTCGGCATTGATCACACACTAACTGGGCAACAGTCCTTAGTCAGACTGCCTCCATCCTTTACGGAGGGTGTCTGCTGTGCTTCATTCAGTGATTAGGGTGGAATAAGGAAGACTTCCTCTAGCCTTAAACATTTTATTAAATGTTACATAGATGCCAGAATAACTGTAGAATCTGGCCCACAACTGCATAATTAAAATGCCTCAGGATGTACTTCCAGTTAGGAAAAATCCTGATGTCCCCTCACAATCAAAACCAGGATGGGGAGGACTGAAGTGTGAGTCTTTCCAGCGTGCGTGTCAGAACAGCAGAAGTAGCATTTTAGGGAGTGCTGCATCTGCGTTTTGGACAACTCAGCCTGCGTTGCTGGATCCAAGAAGTTTTATCTTACACCTGTAATCTTAGTAGAACTACAGTGTAATGTAACAAACTGCAGTTATCTAAACCACTGATATTTCTGACGTTGGTGATTCATAAGGAAATATTTTTTAACTCTCAGTAAAACAGTTTGAAATACTTGTATGTATTTACACTACACGGCTTTGTGTATAAATAAAGCACATAAAATAATACACATCCAATCATCCTTTCCATCAAACTCTGGACATGGTTCTGATCCAGAATCAATTCCTGTCCATGGGAGGACTCCCTCTGACTTTGGATTAGACCCTACTGCCTCCACATCTCTTAATTTTGAGTTGAAATATCCCAGGATTTTTTCCTGGAAAACCCTTAATTTACTTTTACCAATTTTTTGAACGAGACAAACAGATACAGTACAAATGCACTAAGGAGAAGAACCAAGCGGTAAGGAATCTGTTTTCCCCCTCTTGCCTAGCTCTGCTCTTCTGAAAGCAAAATCCTTTTCTCAGTGATGACCCATGGGTACAATTTTCACTTAACAGCTTGCAAGAGGTTATCACCAAGTTTTTGAGGGGGAGAACAATAGGTGTATGAGCGGAGAACAAGGACACAGCAAACTAAAAGAGACAGAAGCATTCAGAGGATTGATGCTGGTGTGGTAGGGAGGTGGAGCAAATGGGAGGAGAAGTCTTGCCGATAGGAACTGGCTGTGTTTGGGAACTTACCCACTGTGCAGACTTTCTTGAAGTCAGGGCAGCACTCCATGTAGTGTTGACAGTTAAAATCACAGTGGCAGACATGCTCTCTAGAATACCCTTCCCCACATCTCCCTGTACAGCTTGATAAATCTAAAATCACACAACACTGGTGTAAGCATTGCCAAACCAAAATGGTCCCTCAGGAAACGCTGAACGGCAAAGCCGTAAGATTTATCTTTTTTCTACGAAATGCCATTCCTTCGTTCGGTTTAGCAGAGCGTGTGGGCCTGGTGCAACCCCTCCTAAAGGCTTGTGGATCAGAGGCTTGCTCTGAGCCAGCCTGAGGACTGGCAGCAGCGTGCTCAGGTTAGAGGCTAACTTATCCAGGTTCTCCTGAAGACTAATGAGTCCTTGAGGGCTGGCAACACCAGTTCAATCTGCGTGGGCTACTTTGGATGCCAGATCTTAAGCAGTATATCAGCCAGGCACTATATTGTTTTGTAGGCTTATTCTTCATCTTAATTCACCCTGCGTATGGCTATAGATGTGCACCTGCACCGTCGTACCCGACAGGCTCATTTTACTTTTTGTAATGTTCTACATGATAACAAAATAAAATCAGTTTAGCTTGCAAACAGGTGAGCACTGTCATAATAAATAGCGGTCCCCGAAGCTGTTTTTATTGGCAGTTTTCAAACTCTGCCTGCCTTCTATGTTATTTTTTTCCCTGAGGTCAGAGAAGAGTTTGGTGTCAATTGTGAGGTTAGGAACAGGTGGGATCTAGTCCTGCAATCTTCTGTAAAGTATTTTCTGTTTGCTAATTAGGACATTACTTATTGGCAGAGTAACACAAAAGCTCATCCCACAATGACTTTACTGCTAGACTGCTGTAGTGTTGGAAAATGATAGATAATAATAAATGGTGCAGGTTACAGGTGGCAAGCAAGACGTCAGTAAGTCTGCTTTCAAACTGCACAGACCCACACTGCTGCTGAGCTTGTTACCTTCTCCTGCCAGATCATGCAACTCCCCTTCCTATGTGAAATCTCTACTGGCATAACATGCTAACTGCTTCTTCTGGAAATGAAACATGCAGGACCACAAGTGAAGCAATCCTAAATACAAACAAAGAAGCTGAACAATCAGCAAGCTAAAACAAGAGTTAAGATTATCAGCTGGAACACTGAGGAACAACAAGAAAATAACACAAAAAAAACATGTAACGCAGCACAACACTGAAGACAATTTCAACAGCACACACTCTGTGTCTGTATGTATGAAGGAAGACCACAGGATAACAAAGAATTAAACCTATTAATATATATTGTGATTTTCAGCAGTTAGGTATCATGTTTGTTACCACTTCTTTCCAAATAATGAAGTAGGGCTAGGGAATAAATGGGGAAGTTAATGGACTTGAGTTAATGGGCTTTTAACAGGGGAGTTGACAAAAGAAGCTAAGAGTCTTCCTTTCTGGATATGTATATATTGCATCCCTTATGGGAAGAAAATAATGGATAAGTCCAAAAAGTAACACCTTTTCATTTATTTGTTTTAAGCTTACGTCTTACAAGTGATGAGGTTCCTGCTAGAGAAAATGCCTGAATGGTTCCAGGTGCTGTTGAAAGGAGTCTTGATTTTTGCTGAAAATATTGGGAAGTTTCCCATCAATTATAGAGGGTGCAGTGTCAGACTGCTCTGCCCTGCAGGTAAAACCTGACATCTCCTCTGCCCTGATGAGCTGCTCACATATCCAAATGTTATGTGTTCTACTAACAAGCAGTAATAAATTATTTTCTATCAGTAAGTAATACACAATTTTATCACAACTTGATAGCTACTTGAGAACTGCGATAGCACAGAACTTGCCAGGCTGCAAGTTCTGTTTCTTCATAACAGTTCTTCTTTAGTTAGAAATCAGTTACAGAGCTCTGAGAGTACATAACAATTTGTAGTAATAGACAAATAATTGCCAAACTCGGCCTTGGTGGTGGTAATAACAGTGTGTTTAATTGCAAAGTGCTTAGTATAGATATTCCTTTCCCTGAGCCTATTGTATTTAAATATTTCTAGCTAAAATATGTGGGTATGGTAATTTTAGATTCTTCCTTGAATCATATTGCAAATGACTTGGGCTAAATATGTCAGTTTGAGGGCAACAGGATCTGTAGAATATGTCTACAGAAAAAGAAGTAGGTTCATATGCATTTTGCATTATATGAGTATTTATATGTTATTGCTCCAAAAAAGAGGACCATGCTGTACCCAAATGTATTTATGAAAGTATTCAGTGATGATAAAACTGAATCTTAATGCCCATCTGAGTAAGTATAAAGTTCTAGAATTTAGTATTTTTATGATGATACATTTGAAGCACTCCTACAATTTGTCAGATATCCTAGACACCCTCCCTTCAACTTTGTATGTTACAGTACCTTGAGAAGACCCTTGAGTCAAGGACAGGGAAAGGATCACCAGGGATGCACAAAGTATGTTCCATATGATCGTTACTTTCAGGTACGACATGATCCCTAAAAAGAAATTCTCATGTCACAATGCAATTCAATTAATCAGTTCATAATATTTAAAAAAATAAAAAAATTATGATGCATATCTTTATACATAATACTAGTTTAATAACAATATAAAATAAATACTAAAATTATTCAAGGATAAATTGTTAATTTAGAATTACTCCATAAATTCCCTCTTGGTTATTAGTCAATTA